TGTTTTCATTATCATTATTTATTTTTATCATTTCTATGATTCTTATTTTCATTACTTTTGCCATTATCATCATTATTTTTGATATTATCATTATAATTTTTTTATTATCGTCATCATCATCATTATTATCTTTATTACTATGCCTCCACTTCCACCTCCAGTTCTGTCTTCCTCCACTTCCACCCCTTCTAATTCGCGTCCACCTCCACCTCTTCACTTCCACACCTTCCACTTCCATATCCCCCTCTTTCATTTCCACCCCTTTCTACTTCCATTTCCACCTCCACCTTCTCTTCTACTTTCACTTTCATCCACCTTCCACCTCCACCTTCCCCATCCACCTTCCACCTTCTCCTCCACCTCCATCTACCCCATCCACCTTCACCTCCATTCACCTTTCCCTTCTCGACCTCCATCTTCCCCCATCCACCTTCCCACCCCCCATCCACCTTCCACCTTCTCCTCCACCTCCATCTTCCCCATCCACCTTCCACCTCCCCCATTCACCTTTCACCTTTCACCTCCATCTTCCCCATCCACCTTCCCACCTCCCCCCATCCACCTTCCACCTTCTTCTCCATCTCCCCATCCACCTTCCACCTTCCACCTCCACCTCCACATCCACCTTCCAATCCCCTCCCTCCCCTCCACCTTCTCCTCACCTTCCACCTCCACCTCCACTTCCACCTCCACCTTCCACTTCCACCTCCACCTTCTCCTCCAACTCCACCTTCTCCAATTCCACCTCCCCCATTCACCTTCCACCTCCACCTTCTCCACATCCACCTCCATCATCCACCATCTCCACTTCCACCTTCTCTTCCACACCCCTTCCAAATCCACCTACTCCTCCACCTTTCACCTTCTCCCACCCTTCCACCTCCACCTCCACATCCACCTTCCACCTTTCCACCTCCACCTCCACTTCCACTTTCCACTTTCCACCTCCACCTTCCCCTCCACATTCCACCACCACCTTCCCTCCACCTTCCACCATCCACCTTCCCCCATCCACCTTCCACCATCCACCTTCCCCCATCCACCTTCCCCTCCACCTTCCACCTCCACCTTCCTCCACTTCCACCTCCTCCCCAGAATTCTCCACCCACGCGACCCCAGTGTTCAAGGAATAATTCAAAATATGCTCCGCCCTTGACAGGCTATGTGGGCGTGGCTGCTGCTGGCGTCCCTCCCGTGTTCCTTGGCTCAGAGGTGGGTGGCGCTTGTGTCTGTTTGTGCGGATGTGTGGATGGATGGATGTCTGTGTGGATGTGTGTGTGTGGTGGATGGATGTGTGGATGGATGGATGGATGTGTGATGATGGATGTGTGTGTGTGGATGGATGGATGGCTCTGTGGATGGATGGATGTGTGGATGTCTGTTTGTCTCTGTGGATGTCTGTTGGTCTGTGTGGATGGATGGATGTGTGGATGTCTGTCTTTGTGGATGTGTGTGTGTGGATGGATGGATGTGTGGATGGATGTGTGGATGGATGGATGTGTGGATGTCTGTCTTTGTGGATGTGTGTGTGTGGATGGATGGATGGCTCTGTGTGGATGGATGGATGTGTGGATGTCAGTTTGTCTCTGTGGATGTCTGTTGGTCTGTGTGGATGGATGGATGTGTGGATGTCTGTGTGAATGGATGTGTGGATGTCTGTCTGTCTCTGTGTGTGGATATCTGTCTGTCTTGTAGGTGTCTGTGTGGACGGCTTTATGTGTGGATGTCTGTGTATCTCTGTGTGTGGATATTTGTCTCTGTGAATGTGTATATCCGTCTCCGTGTCTGTATCTATGTGGATGGCTGTGTGTATGTGTGTGTATCTGTCTGTGTGGATGTGGCTGTTTGTCTATGTCTGTATGTGTCTGTGTCTATCTGTCTGTTTTTGTGGATGTCTGTCTGTCCGTCTTTGTAAACGTTCATGAAATACACTCACACACATACCCGAATATACACAGACACAGACAAACAGTAAGACAGACAGACAGACAGGCAGGTAGGCAGGCGTACATACATACATACAGACAAACACACACACACACACACACACACACACACACACACACACACACACACACACACACACACACACACACACACACACACACACACACACACACACACACACACACACACACATCACAACACCCCACACGCCCCCCCACATACACACGCCCCCCCCCCCACACACAAAACCCTCCCATTGTCCTCCATCTCCACCTCCCCCTCACCCCTCCCGCTCCCCTCTCCCCCTCCCCCCTTCCCCCCTCAGGTCCTAGCCCAGGACACCTCCTCGCCGCCATCCCCCCCTCACCCTCCCCTCCCGCTCTCCCTCCCCCCTTCCCTCCCCTCAGGTCCCTAGGCCCAGGGACACCCTCCTCGCGCCCCATCCCCCCCTCAACCCCTCCCCCCCTCCCCCCTTCCCCCCCCCAGGTCTAGCCCAGGGACAGCCTCCTCCCGCCTCACCCCCATCATCCCTCCCCTCTCCCCCCTTCCCCCCCCCAGGTCCTAGCCCAGGGACAAGCCTCCTCCGCCCCATCCCCATCATCCCTCCCCTCTCCCCCCCTTCCCCCGAGGTCTAGCCAGGGACAACCTCCTCCCGCCCCATCCCCCCTCACCCTCCCTCCGCCCCCTTCCCTCCCGCTCCCCCCTCCCTCCCCCTCCCCCCAGGTCTAGCCAGGGACACCCTCCTCCCGCCCCATCCCCCCCTCACAGGCCTCCCTCCCGCCCCCCTCACCCCCTCCCCCCTTCCCCCCAGGTCCTAGCCCAGGGACATCCCGCCCCACCCCCCTCACCCCTCCCTCCCGCTCCCCCTTCCCCCTCCCCCTCCCCCCCGGTCCTAGCCCAGGGACACCCTCCTCCGCCCCATCCCCCCTCACCCCTCCTCCGCTCCCCCCCTTCCCCCCTCCCCCCAGGTCCCCAGGACACCCTCCTCCCGCCCCATCCCCCCCTCACCCCTCCCTCCCCCCCTTCCCCCTTCCCCCCCAGGCCTATACTTGACTGGGTTGAGATGTTATAGATGGTGGTAATTTTAGTGTGTCGGGTTGGCCATTTCCCGTGCACGGTTGATGGGTCTGTGTGTGTGTGTGAGTGTATGTATGTGTGTGTGCGTGTGTGTGCTTTTTACCACTCCTTTCTCTCTTATCTGTTTCCTTCTTCCTTCTCTCTCTCTCTCTCTCTCTCTCTCTCTCTCTCTCTCTCTTCTTCCTCTCTCGTCTCTCTCTCTCTCTCTCTCTCTCTATATATATATATATATATATATATATATATATATTATATATTATAATAATATATATATATATATATATGTATATTTATACAGCTGCTCTTCTCTTCTTCTCTCACTCTCTCCTTCTTCCTTTCCCTCTTTCTCTCTCCTTCCTTTCTCCCTCTATTTCTATCTTTCCCTGTTCCTCTTTATCTAGCCCTCTTCCCCCTCCCTCACTTCCTTTCCCACTTCCTTCTTCCCCCTTCTTCTTCTCCCTCTCCATTCTTTCTTCTTTCTCTCTTTCCATCTCCCATTCCCGCTCCAGTCCGACTCCCCTTCTCTCTACTCCTTTCCTCTTTATTTCTTTTCTCCTACTCCTCTCCCTCCTCCTCCCTTCTTTCTCTTCCTCTCCCATTCTGTATCCTATTCCTCCTCCTCCCTACTCCCCTTTCCTCCTCCTCCCCCTCCTCTCTTCCTTCCATCCCTCCCCTTGCTCCTTCCTCCCTCCTTCTTCCCTCTTCCCTCTCTACTCCCTCTCACTCTATCCTCCCCTCTCCCTTCTTCTTCCCACTCTCCCTCCAACCCTCCCTCCCCCCCCCATCCCTCCTCTCTCCTTTCGCTCCTCCCCTCCTCCACCCTCCCTCTTCCTCTCCTTCCATTCACTCCCCCCCTCCACCTATCCTCCCTCCTTACACTCACACAACCCTCCTCCACCCCTCTTCCCCCTCCAACACCCCTCCCTCTCTCCTCTCCTTCTACACACACACCCCTCCCCCTCCTCCTCCTCCCCTCCTTCCTCCACCCTCCTCATCCTTCCACCCCTCCTCTTCCCCTCCTCCCCCCTCCCTCCCTCCCTCCTCCTCCTACCCCCCTCCCCTGCCCTCCTCCCTCCATCCTCCTTCCGCCCCTCTCCTCCTCCCTCCACCATCCCCTCCATCCCCTCCTTCCACCCCCTCCTCCACCCCCTCCTCTCTCGAAGTTCGAACCCGGCGTAAGGAGGATTAAGGAGGATGCTCTTGCGTTGCAGGACCTCGAGCGTAGGATTCAGCGTGAGGAAGCTGAAGACGCCTTCGTTTCTGACCTTGGAAGGGCCCGCGCGAGTGAGGTTCCAGGTGAGTCGGAGGTTTTGTGTGTCCGTTTCTGTCTTTCTTTTTTTTTTCTCTCTCTTCTCTTTCTTTTGTGTTCCGTTTCTGTTTCTCTCTTTTTCTTCTTTCTCTCTCTCTCTTTCTGATCTCCTCTTGCTTTTCTCTCTCTGATCTCTCTCTGAGTGAGGTTCCAGGTGGGTTCGGAGGTTTTGTGTGTCCGTTTCTGTCTTTCTTGCTTTTTTTTTCTCTTCTCTCTCTTTCTGTTTGTGTCCGTTTCTGTCTCTCTTTCTTTCTTTCTTTTCTCTCTCCTCTTTCTGATCTCTCTTGTTTTCTCTCTCTGATCTCTCTGAGTGAGGTTCCAGGTGGTTCGGAGTTTTGTGTGTCCTTCTGTCTTTTTTTTTTTTTTTTTTCTCTTCCCACCCCCTCTCCCTTCTTCCCACTCCTCTCCCTCTTCTCTTTCTTTTTCTCTCTCTCTCTGATCTCCTCTTGCTTTTCTCTCTCTGATCTCTCTCTGAGTGAGGTTCCAGGTGAGTCGGAGGTTTTGGTTTCAGAGGGGCGCGAGGGGGGATTTGTGTGGGTTCGTTTCTGTCTGTTTGTTTGTTTGTTGTTTGTTGTTTGTTTCTTTGTCTCTCTCTCTTTCTCTCTCTCTCTCTCTCTCTCTCTCTTTCTGTTTGTCTCTCTCTCTCTCTCTCTCTCTCTCTCTCTCTCTCTCTCTCTCTCTCTCTCTCTCTCTCTCTCTCTCTCTCTCTCTCTCTCTCTCTCTCTCTCTCTCTCTCTCTCTCTCTCGTCCTTCTCTTTTTTTTCTTCTCTCCTTTCTCTCCTTCCCTCTCAATCCTTCTCAGGTATTTCCTTTCTTTCTCTTTACTTTTTTGTTCTCGTTCTTATCTCTCTTTTCTTCTTTCCTTTCCCTCCTTCCCTCTGTCTTTCTGATTTTCGCCTATTTCCTTTCTCCTTCTTCTTTTCCATTTACTCCCTCCTATCTTCTACCCTCTCCCTTCCCCTGTTCTCCCCACTCCTCTCCCCCTTCCTCCTTCTCCCCTCTCCTTCCCTCTTTCTTTCTCTCCTTCCCACCTCTCTCCCTTCTTCCCCTCCTCCCCTCTTCTCCCTCCCCCTTCTTCTTCTCCCCCCAACCTCTCCCTTCTCTCCCCACTCACCCTTCCCACCCGTTCCCTCTCCTCCATCCTTTACCCTCTCCCTCTCCCCTTCCCACCTCCTACCCCTTCCTCTGCATTTACCCTCCTCCTCTCCCCTTCTCCCCACCCCTCCCCCCCATCTTTTACCCTCACCCTCTCCCCCATCCTTTACCCTCTCCCTCTCCCCTTCCCCTCTCCCACCCCTCTCACCCCCTCCTCCCCTTCCTTTACCCCTCTCCCCCTTCCTTTACCCTCCACTCTCCCTCCCTCTCCCCCTCTTCTCACCCCTCTCCCACCCCCCTCTCCCCTCCTCCCACCCCTCTCCCCCCCCTCTCCCTCTGCCTGTGCTCCCTCAAGGATGAAGCCCGACGGAGGGGAAACCTTGAAGACCCATCCAAGGGTGACACGGCGAGGGTATAAGGAGGCCGGGACACGATTCTCGGCCGGAGGAGTCGTGGCCGTCATGCTGCTGCTCTCAATGACGTTGCATTTTTTTCGATCGGAGTCACGTGTCATTTTTCTTTTTTTTTTTTTTTTTTTTTCTGGTGTCGGGTTTTTTAATAGTTTTGAGGTAAGGGGAGTGTTATGTAGGTACAGATGAATGAATTGATAAATATATAGAGATACTATGAATGAACTGATAAATATGATCGATGAATGAACTGATAAATATATAGAGATACAGATGAATGAATGATTAAATATATATAGATACAGATGAATGAACTGATAAATAAAAGAATATGTACACACACACATATATACATACACACACGCATATGTGTGTGTGTGTGTGTGTGTGTGTGTGTGTGTGTGTGTGTGTGTGTGTGTGTGTGTGTGTGTGTGTTGTGTGTGTGTGTGTGTGTGTGTGTGTGTGTGTGTGTGTGTTGTGTGTGTGTGTGTGTTGTGTGTGTGTCTGTGTGTGTGACGCATGACTTTTTTTTTGCTTCTTATATTGATAGAGAGCAGGATTATTGTGGTATCATGCTTTAATCGTAAATTAAAAAAATAATAATAATTTAGACGTAGAAGCCTTAATTACCGTTTTTTTAAGTCAAAACAATCAACTAACAAATACGACTACACAAACTCACTTCTTTGAATTTGAATTATAAAACAGACCTATTCATTCTGGGTTATTTGGTCCATCAATCCTTTCAACCGAATCTATTCCGCAGTTTGAGCGTGATACGATTCCCTCGAAGCCAAACGGAGCTCGGCGAACTTGAACAGATATTCCATAAATTTGCTTTTTTTTTTTTTTGCTTTGCTTCCTGTAATAAATGCATGGAATAAAAAGAAAGAGAAAAAAGAATAAGAAAGAAAGAAAGAAAGAAATATATATATACGTGAATATTTGCAATCGGCATATCAATAAGCGATAAAATATTAACAGGAAGATTTCCATTATGATGAATACCGAGAGAAAATAGATTTTTTTTATGGAAGATTTGATGATGATCATCATAATGTGATGATGATGATGATGGGATGATAATGATATGGTGGTGATGATAATATAATGATATGATAGATATAATGATAATTGATGATATTACTAATGGTAATAATATTAACAATTAATTAATAACGATAATAATAATAATAATAATAATAATATAAAATAATAATAATAATAACATAAAATAATAATAACAATAAACAAAACAACAACAACAACAATAACACCAAATAATATAATAACATGCGTCCTATTGATCTACTCCAGCCCGAGTTTGCGCGCTTGTAAACAGCTGATTATGAAGCCAAAGGTTATTCAGAAATATTACATATATCACGCTCAGTTTAACATGTCGAGTGCGCTTCTCTGTTGTATGCATTCATGATCATCTCGAATAAATTATTTAATGGGTTTGGTTGTTGTTGTTGTTGTTTATTTGTTTTTTTTCTTGTGTTTAGTAGGAAGGGAGGAGGTTAAGTGAGAGATGGGGGGAGGGAAGGAGGGAAGGGAGAAGGAGAGGGAGGAAAAAGAGAAGGGAGAAGGAGAGGACTGGGAAAGATGGGGAGGGAAGGAAGAGGACTGGGAAGAAGGAGGGGAGGAAGGGAGAAGGCTGGAAGGAAGGGAGGAATGAAAAGGAGAGGGACTAAAGGGAGAGGAAGAAATAGGGCAGGAAGGAAATGGATGGGAAGGGAAGGAAAAAAAGACAGGGAGAGGAGGGAAGGAAGGGAGAAGGCTGGAAGGAAGGAGGGATAAGGAGAAGGAGAAGGGAGGAAGGAAAAGAGAGACTAAAGAGAGAGAAGAAATGGGGCAGGAAGGAAATGGATGGGAAGGAAGGACAGGGAGAGGGAGGGAAGGAAGGAGAAGAAAGAAAGAAGGGAGAAGAGAAGGAGGAGGAGGGAGAGAGAGAGAGAGAGAGAGAGAGAGAGATAAAGAGAAAGAAACAGAGAATGATAAAAAGAGACACAGAAAGAAAGGAAAAGAGCAGTAATTGTAACAGAGAGAAAAAAAAAGAAGAAAAGTAGTACAGAAAAAAAGAACGAGATATTACAGCAGACATCAAAATAACAAATACAGCTTATATAAAAAAAAAAAAAATCTGGAAGGCCATGATACAAAATAATTCCTAGGCCGAAAATACCGCTACAAAATCCCTAGTAATATCCTATCCTGATTATCCTAATCCTAAAAATATTCAGCCATTATCCCTGGGTCTGGTGTAAACAAGACGGTGATGAATAAGGGAATGGAAAAATCCCAAGAGAAAGGAAGGGACGAGAGGAGATGGGAGAAGAAAAGAGGTGAGAAGCGAAAGCGTGAGAGGGGGGAGAGATAGAGAGAGAGAGGTGTGAAGAGAGAAAAAGGAGATGAGAAGAGAAGAGAGGAGAAGAAGAAAACATGAGAAGAATGAGAAGAGGAGAGAAGAAAGGGGAAGAAAAGACAAGAGATGAGAAGAGAGGAGTGGATAAGAGGAGACAAGAGAGGTGATCAGAAGAGAGTAGAAGCGAAAAGAGAAGAAGAGAAGAAAAATGACAAGAGCAGAAAAAAAAAATCAGAGAAAAAAAGTGAGAAAAAAAGACAAAGAAAAACAAAGAGAAGAGAAAACAAAACAAAACAGTATTACCAAGCATCATACACGAAAAGGTACCCACCCAGTCCTCTCTCACGCGAAACTGTCGGATCGGAAAGTCTAAAAAGGTCAAGGAAGCAATTCTGGCAACACTGTTTCTCCTTTCCTCCGAGGTCACAAAGAACGGCGACTGACCTCGTTTTCTCCCAAGGAATACGAAGAGAGAGAGAGTAGAGAGAGGGGGGAGAGAGAGTGAGAGAAAGAGAAGAGAGTAGAAGAAGAGAGAGAGGAGAGAGGAGAGAGAGAGAGAGAGAGAGAGAGAGAGAGAGAGAGAGAGAGAGAGAGAGAGAGAGAAGAGAGAGGCGAGAGGAAGAGAGGAGAGAGAGAGGGGAAGAAAGAGAGGAGAGAAAGAGAGAGAGTGTGAGAGGAAGAGAGAAAGAGAGAGAGAGAGAGAGAATGAAAGAGAGATAAAAAGACAAAGAAAAAACAAAGAGAAGAGAAAACAGAACGAAACAGTATTACCAAGCATCATACACGAAAAGGTACCCACCCAGTCCTCTCTCACGCGAAACTGTCGGATCGGAAAGTCTAAAAAGGTCAAGGAAGCAATTCTGGCAACACTGTTTCTCCTTTCCTCCGAGGTCACAAAGAACGGCGACTGACCTCGTTTTCTCCCAAGGAATACGAGAGTGGAGAGGAGAGAGAGGAGGGAGGGAGAGAAAGAGGAGGAGAGGAGAGGGAGAGAGAAGAGAGAGAGGAGAGAGTAAAAGAGAGAGAGAGAGAGAGAGAGAGAGAGAGGAGAGAAGAGAGAGAGAGAGAGAGAGAGAGAAAGAGAGAGAAAGAGGAGAGAGAGAGAGAGGAGAGA